ATGCTCTGTCATCTTGGTGCTTGGGGGGGGGGCAACAGTGGGAGGGCTTCTAGTGCCCTGGCCCCATTGCTGGACCTCCTGATGGCACCAGGTATTTCTGGCCACTGTGTGACACAGAGTGTTGGAGTGGATGGGCCATTGGCCTGATCCAACACTGGCTTCTCTTATGTTCTTATGTCTGGGGCAAGGTATGCTCTGTCTTCTTGGTGCTTGGGGGGGGTCAACAGTGGGAGGGCTTCTAGTGTCCTGGCCCCACTGGTGGACCTCCTGATGGCACCTGGTATTTATGGCCACTGTGAGACACAGAGTGTTGGACTGGAGGGGCCATTGGCCTGATCCAACATTGGCATCTCTTATGTTCTTAAAAAAAATGTGGCTCGTTTTAAAGCCATTGGGAGAAAGTGAAGGAGTGTCCTTCCCTGCCAATGTTACTAGAATGGGGGGAGGGGAGTCACCTAATGACAGCGCCAGCGTGTAAAGGGGCCCCAGCACACTATGTTCTGCCGAGCCGTAGAGGGCATATCTGACCCCTCTCCCACAGGGAGCGTTCACGGGGAACCTGGGGTGATGCTTTGAGCTCGAGCGCAGACACACCAAGCTTGGGCCGGCTCGGGACAGCCAAGCAACCCGACCTAGTTAAAGGCTGGGGATTCGAATCCAAAGGGACCCTCTTTCTCGGTTCATGCTTCTCCGGGGATTGCCAACCAACCAGGAAAAAAAGGGGAAAGAGAAACGGCAAGGTGTGCTCCTTCCACGGAGGCCGGGGCGCAGGAAAACCAGGAGAAACGACTCCCCCCCCCCAGGAACGGAAAGGACCGTCATCACCCGCAGCACCGGCTGCTAAAAGCGCAGCTACAGGGAGCTGGTTGACCAGCTGGCCACCCCGGTAACTGACCAGAGGACTGCCTCGCCCTCTCGCCATCGCACCCGTTTACGATTCGCTTTCCCCTTCCTAGATCAGGCAAGGGCAGGCAAACCCCAGCACGGAATTCCAGAGAACTGCCAACCAGAAGCCTGGACTAGCACAAAGTAGACCAGTAGCCCGCTTTCCATTTCCCCAGGTGCCACAGCATAAGCCACGATTGGCTACGTGGACCTGTGCAGAACGTTTCACAGGAGAGCTCGCCTCTCAAAGGGGTGCGTCGCCAAAGAAATGCATGCTGGGGCTTGTAGTCTCCGTAAGCCACTGTGGCTTGTGAAGACCAGAGAAGGACCAAGAACCGCCCTTTGCAGCAACGGAGCGCGCTGGCCCGCTTGAAACACCAATGTTTTTCCTCTTCCCCTCGTCCAGCCATGACCCGGCCAACTATGGCCAGCGCAGAGGCCAAGTCTCGGCGGTGCAGTTGGCACAGTCGGAGAACACGACAATGATACTGAATGCTCCCAGGCCCAGAGCCAGGATTTTGTGGCTTGTGGGGCAAAACAATTATTTATTTATTTATTTATTTATTTATTATGAGATTTCTATCCCGCCCTACCCAGTGGCTCAGGACGGCTAACAACAACATACAAATACTAAAACAATAAAATAATTTTAAATACAATAAAAACTGGTGCTTCAGTCTATACAATCTATACCATTTACAAAATGCTCGGCGATTATTTGCTGCCTATGATGTTAATAATGAAAGCGTCCCAGCACAAACAGACTAATCGACCTCCATAGGGTCTGGTCGATGGACGATACAGCGGAGGTGGTGGCGGCGGCTCCTACCCAAAGGCCTGGTGGAAGAGCTCCGTCTTGCAGGCCCTGCGGAACTGCACTAGGATCTCCTCCGGGAGCTCATTCCACCAGGAAGGAGCCGCCACCGAAAACGCCCTAGATCTCGTATGGGCCAACCGTTATTTGGGGCTACCGTTATTAGCCATAATGAAGGGGGGGTGGGCCCCTCTCCCTCCCCTCCTGCAAGATCTAAAGGGCCCTTTAAGCGGGGGGGCGGCCCTTTAAGGAAGGGGGCGTGGCCCCCAATAGCTGTGGGACAGAATGCTACCCATTTCTACGGAGCGCCTGATCTGGTCCCAGAATGCAAGACCGCTGGCCTCCTAGCCTGAGGGTGGGGGGAGGGGAACAGCCCTTCTAGCCCCCTGCCCCCCGCTCTCTACGCTCCTCCCGGCGGAAGAGGGGAAGCCCTCCCTCCGGCCTCGTCTTACCCAGCCTCCTTAGAACTCAGCATTTTGGCCCAGATGAGGTCAGTGTCAACGGACTCCTCGCGAGGGTTAGTGGAGCTGACCTGCAGCATCAGGCTCTCGCAGGGGGCGCCGGTGAGCGTGGCCAGGCCTTCGATGGCGCGCCCCGCCTGGAGGGCGAAGTACGAGCCGTGGAGCTTGGCCAGGGCCTTCTCAATCAGGGCCACCCACAGCTGCTTCCGCTGGGCCTGGGGAAAGAGCAGAGAGAACAAGCGCCAGTGCAGACAGAGCGGCTGGACGGCATCAAGCGCCTGCCTTGATCGATCGGCTTCACTTATATCCTGCTTTTTCCCTCGAGAGGGACTTACCTTCTCCTCCATTTTATCCTCCCCGCAACCCTACGGGGGTGGGCTAGGCTGAGAGGTGTGTGACTGGCCCAAGGCCACCCAGCGAGCTTCCACGGCAGAGCATGGATTCGAACCCGGGACACCCTAAACGACTACCCCCCCCCACGGGCTCGCTTGTTTCGCTTGTTCGGTTCATTCGACGCGAATCAACCTATGTCTTGCAAAATGGACCGGGGGCGGCACGAATGCAAACTCGTGTAGACCACTACGGGCGCCTGAAATGAACGTACTGATTTGATTTGATTTCTGTCCCGCCCTCCCCTGCGGATGAGCTAAGGGTGGGTCACAACGTGTCAGTGAGCACATGATACGAGCACCAAAACCCAGGCCAAAAAGATTTGGATTGTGTGCCCGGACTTCCTAAAAATCTCCACTGGAATGCTGCAATACGCCTATCCCACAGAACGTTCGGACACCAGTTTCTCTGGTTTTGCCTAATTCACGGAGGGGAAGGGAAAGACCCTGAAGCTTCACCTCCCCCAAGGGCTGCCCATCTTGACCAGCTCTCTCTCTCTTCTCGTGCAGTCTAGCTCACCACCTAGTGGTGCTCAACACTAAAAGGGCTAGAATTTAAGTCTGCCAGACAGTCTTCGAATCCCCTGGCTATACTACACACAAACATACGATGATTATTATTACTCCGCTTGTGCCCTCGGAAATGTATCTTGGGAGCTGCCAGGGCTCCAGCCCTTCGTTTAACTTTGTTTTTTTAAAGGAAAGGTCAGATTACCAGGAAGCTGAGCTCTCTGCATTTCCTTCCATGGAATCACACTACGAACACAAAGCGCCTTCGAAGCTGTTCGGAAGCTTCTTTTATCTACAACACATACAAAAGAAGATCTCGTGCGCAGGGCGTGGATTTCTGCTTCACCTACCTCTCCCACGGTCCTCAGTCCACGGAGGACAGGGTGGCCGAGAGCTTCTAGCCACGACGGCTGAATGGAACCTCCGTGTTCAGAGGCAGTGTACTTCTGTTCACCAACTGACTGGGGAAGGCAGCCACAAGGAGAGGCTCGGGCCCCTGTGGCCCGCGGGGCTGGTAGGTCTTTCTGGTGACATCTGGTCAGCCACCGTGAATGACAAGCTGGGCTACCGCTGGGGACATCGCAAACCCGATCTCAGCTTCTTCGAGATGGGCACAAATGCGCTTCTCCCTGAGGCTCACCGGCCTCCTTCCTGCCGCAACAAGGCTGATGACGAGAGCCCTCCGTCTAGCTCCCACCGGCCAGGACGTCTGAACGAGGGACCCTTCGCTGACGTGAGGCCCGTCCCCTTTCCCAGTCTGAACTCTGGGGAAGAGTCCCAGGAAAGAGTCGGCAAAGCGTTGCCTGACGTGGCTCCTATTGTGTTTCTATGAGCGGTATATCAGGGGAGCGGTCGCACAGTGGGTATATCCCACTGTCTTAACATCCGAACTGTGTTAGTTCGAGCCCCGCACGGGTGTGAGCAGCCAGCCTGTTCTCCCCAGCTCATCGTCCACCCAGCGATTCGAAAGCTTCGGCGAGTAGATAAAATGGGAACCACTCCTTAGAGGGTGGGCACGCCAATCTCCCTTGTGGGAGGGTGTTCGCTGACGGTCGGACGTTCCGGTCGAGGTTCAGAAAAGGCGAAAAAACTTATCGGCTACGAAAGAATCCCTGTACTGGATGTTCCGGCCAGGCGGTGGCAGTGTGGTGATTGACATACGGGTCCTGAAGCCTGGCCGACAAGCAGCCGTGCGGAAAACGACGGAGCCAAGCCAGAAGACGTCTACACCGGGCAGTGACAGCGTGTGCAATTAAATGAATCTATGTTGTCTTCCCTTTCCCCTACGAACATGGTTAGTCCCTTGTCTATATTGAGTAACTGTACATCGCTTTGAGCCCACTGGGGAAAGCGATTAATAAATGGAAAGTATTATTATTATTATGAACTCTTAACTACGAAACACCTGACATGTGCTAGTTGTGCGCAAAGGGGACTGAGCTATAAGGTGGCTCCAAAGGATGCCAGCTACAGACACATGCCCAGGAGGAGGAAGCCGTCCTGTGAAACAATGTGCCCGGGGGGCCCTGTATGCCACCCTCCCTCGTGCTTGCAGTGAGGTGAGCCAGCTCCCAAGCCGCACGCAGCAGTGCAGAGCCAGGCTGCTGCCAGGCCGGGCCAGAAGACAGGGGACCCGGGCTCCATGATGAGTCCCCTTCCTGTGCACGTAAGCAGCGTGTTTCCCCCCACCTAATACATCACCTAGTCGAAACTGCAGGCAGGGGACAAGAAGAGAACGATGCCTCTGGCCAGTGGAAGACACAGCCCCATCGGGTGCCATTGTTCAAGCTAGTTCCCCATTAGAGTCGACATCGCCCACTCCACAGACCTTCGACCCCAGCACCAGTCAGCCCATTTTTGGGGACGGACTAGCAGAAGGTGTTTCCCCCCACCTAATACATCACCTAGTGGAAACTGAAGGCAGGGGACAAGAAAAGAACGATGCCTCTGGCCAGCGGAAGACCCATCGGGTGCCATTGTTCAAGCTAGTTCCCCATTAGAGTCCACAGACCTTCGACCCCAGCACCAGTCAGCCCATTTTTGGGGACGGACTAGCAGAAGGTGTGCCAATGCAGGTGGCCAAGTCTAAGCCCACCCCTCAGCCTCCTTATAAAGGGGGCTGTGCAGCACCAGTGCTCTCTCTCGTACTTGCACTGTTGCTCCCCTACCTGACCCCTCCCTACCCGAAGTCTCGGGCTCTTGGTTGCGCAGCCAGGGTCTTACCGTGCGCCTGCCGGCTCAGGACACGGCCCTCTCCCCGCCATCCCATAGCCCCCTCCTTTTCCTGAGATTCGCTCCATCCAACAACAGGACAGGTATCGTATCTCCCATCATTGAAACATCCTGCTAATGCAAATGTGCTCTTTTATTTCTATCTATACTTCTTAGATCCGGAGCTGCGGTGGCTCAAGTGGTTAAGACGCTGAACTGCAGGCTGTGGAAGGTCGGTAGTTCAGCAGTTCGAGACCCGAGTGTGCCGCATGACGGAGTGAGCTCCCGTCTCTAGTTCCAGCTCCTGCCAACCGAGCAGTTCGAAAGCAAGACATTGCAAGTAGATAAATAGGTACCGCTTCGATGGGAAGGTCACAGCGTTCCATGCGCCTTGGTGTTTAGTCATGCCGGCCACATGACCACAGAAACGTCTTCGGACAGCGCTGGCTCTTCAGCTTTGAAACGGAGATGAGCACTGCAACCCTAGAGTTGGATTCGACTGGCTTTCGAGCAAGGGAACCTTTACCTTTTTATACTTCTTAGATGCTGTATAATTGTTCGTGTGCTTGTGTTATTGTATGCTTGAAATACATTTAGTAAACAACACCATCTTATACTGATATCAGTCTCTGCGTCTACTTTGCCGTGTCTGGACAACCCTGCACCCCTGTATACACAGATGCTTACCCCCGCAGTTGCCTACTGCCTGGTCTAAGACCATAACTCCCTATATTAATCGGCAAATGTAAGGCAATTTGGCTAACAAAAGGCGCCTGCCTGCAGATGCCACGGCTGATCGGGAACGAGATGGAGGGCCTCCCAGCGCTGCACGTGAACTGAGGAGAGGGGAGGAGGGCGAATGCGCACCTGGCCGCCCACCAGACTCCCGCCCTTCACAACTCCACAAGAATCTGACCCATCAAACAAGCACTTCAGTACGAAAGATGGTTCCCCGTCTTGGGAAAACTAGAGGATATGCTCGACAACAAGAGTCGCTCTCAGTACCGGTGCCATAATTTCTCAGAGATCAGCTGGTTAATTTGATTTTTTTGGAACAAAATCCAATGTAAATAAGACAAGATTTCTGATTTTATACAAACTAGGAAAAATACTTTTATCTTACAGCATGAAAAGATATGATACTACAATATATAATATCAGACATTTTAC